AGAGGAGGAAGCAGGCTCCCCGCTGAGCAGAGAGCCCGATGCGGGGCTCGATCCCAGGACCCTGGGATCATGACCTGAGCCGAAGGCAGAGGCTTTAACCCACTGAGCCACCCAGGCGCCCCTAAAATAAAAAAACATCTAAACCAATCATGATAAACTCTATACCATGACCCTCTAGCCTGGGGTTCAGCCTTCCTGACCATCTCCACCACCATATGCTTTAAATTCAGAAATGCAGGTAGGAGCAAAACATGGGCAGCCAGCCACAGGGAACAGAGGCCACAGAACTGGCCCATGAGGGAGACTAAGGAAAACTCTTCCCAGGCAAACTGTTTTCCCATCTTCCCTTTCTGCTGTTTAATGCAAACTTGCTTCTTCATTCCTTTCTACAATTCACATATTGACTATGTGCTCAGCACTGTTCTAAGCATTTTGACCCTCCTATTTTTCAAAATAACTCTTGTTACCTCTACCACTTTTTCTTTTCTTTTGCATTACTCAGTTTCCTGTGGTTTTTGTTTTAAGAGTCTCCATGCTTCACTAGCAAGAAAAAGACATGGCTCCTTTCTTTACAATAAACGAGTTGTTCCTGGGGGATTAGAAGAGGGACAGACAGTCTGAGCAGCACCTAGAGAGCCAACATGGAGGAAAAAAAAAAAAAAAAAAAAGGAGCACGTGGGTAGATAATGGAGCAAAGACAACTGCAGGGTTTTTATCTGTGCTCCAGATTTAAGTAACTCTTTTGTTATCAAAAATAACTATGTCAGCATCAATAACCTGCTGATTATAAAATGCATTCTTGGCAGAGAGGGGGAATTAACATCTAATGAACACTTGCCATCTGCCAGGCACTATGCAAGGCTAGTGATTCTCAGTATTTTAGTGGTCAAGGACTCCTCTGGGATTCTTGTGGAAACTATAAAATCTCTCCCTTAGAAAAACTCAAATGAACACAAAATTTTACAAAGAATCACAAGGGCAAACAATGTTCCAAAGCATAATCAGACTCCAGATTAAAACCCTTTGTGTTAAGCCCTTAAGATCCCAGAGCATGTCATTATTGAGACAAGATACCATTATCCCCACCTTACAGATGAGGGGCCATCCCTAAGGTCACATACTAAAGTGGCAGGAACATTTCAGACAGAGTTGTCTGAACACTACTTGGTGTCCTAGATAAAAATGTCATTTGATTTTTACTGTTATTATAACTGTCACTCCTTATTTTTAAACAAAGAAGTAAGATTATGTGAGAAACTGAAATCTGTGCAAAATATTCTAGACTCAGCCACAGGACATCAGAAAGCTCAGAATTCCCAGGGGTTCCAATCCCATTTCCTATCAGCCAAAAGCCCCACTCCTCCTGAACTCACCTGCCCAGAAAGGAAACCAGCCAAAGAGGTGCTTTTCTTAGCCAGGTTTCATAAGCCTCAGAACAAGAAGCAACCTGTCAATAATATCTCAATAAAACTAGGGGGAAATTTTTTAAAGAGGCAACCTCTCTTTAAGATAATCTATCAGTCAGGGGCGCCTGGGTGGCTCAGTGGGTTAAAGCCTCTGCCTTCGGCTCAGGTCATGATCCCAAGGTCCTGGGATCGAGATCGGGATCTCTGCTCAGCGGGGAGCCTGCTTCTTCCTCTTTCTCTCTCTGCCTGCCTCTCTGCCTATTTGTGATCTCTAGCTGTCAAATAAATAACTAAATAAAATCTTAAAAAAAAAAAAAAGATAATCTATCAGTCAAAATGGGAATTGAGAGACCAGTCAAAGCCTATGGATATGAAACAAAAGAAATTTAATTTCAGAATATTACATGAATAACAAAGACAATGCATAGGATTGTTTCTTTACAGTTACATATATATGATATATAGTCAAATAAGAATGAAAGATAAAAAATGGTGAAACAGTTAAGAAACCTTGTTTCGCTTGCTGAGCAAGCTCAGGGAGAGCCAAGGGCGACCCCTGCTACGAAAGGCCCTGGGGCGGGAGTGTTTTTCCCAACAGGCTCTGCCAGTCTCCAAGTGTCTGGGGGAGTGCTCAATGGCTCTTCAGCATCCCTGGCTGTGGCCTCGCATACTCTAGTTTCCATGGCAACCCAAGCATTCAGGCTATTATGTACTCACCTCCTCACTAGCCCCTCCACTGTCTCTCCATGAGTGGAAAGATGTCGGTTGGCACTGGCTGCCTGGGAAAACTAGCTTTTCCGTGGGGAGTTTTAGATTGGGTTAATTACCACTGGTTTGAAAAGCTTGTCCATTTTAGGAACCCAAAATTTCCCCAAATTCTACAGCAATCTTGCCAAATGCCAATACCCAGGTTTAGATCAAGGTCCTGTCTTCAGTACAAAAGCTTCAGGGTGGAGGGGACAGGGATGAGGATCTCCCTGGGAAAAGGAGTTCTATTTAGAAAAGACCTTCCAGCATTTGTGTGAGGCCCTGTACGATGTAAGGAAGCAGCGAGAGTCTAGAGAAGTCTGTTGCCAAAGATGGCTTCCCTGGCTGTGCATGGGCCACACGGCTGGTCACTGCAGGGCACAGGTGCAAGGACCACGGGTTCTCTGTATCCAAACAGAGGCTCCTGGGAGGGAAGCTGCACAAAACCACCACTGTCCAGGCGGAGAGAAGGGATTTGCTGGCTTCCTCACAACCCAAGAAAACGGCCACCTCTGGATCACCCAGCAGTCACCAGGGTCAACTGCCCTGTTCTACTCCATTTCCCAAGAGTGCTCCCGAGAAGGACATTTAGGGTGAAGAGTTGGGAAGGAGCGGCTGCAGTTTGTTTGTTACAATTCGTTAAGTACCAGCTCCTTGAACATGTTCTGGCACTCAGATACAAAAAGGTACAATCAGTGTCTTCTAACCTTTCACTGTGGCACTGGAGTTTTTCAAACCAGATTCCCTGGTCCCACGGCAAAAGTCTATCACACTAAAAGGTTAGAAACTCCAGTGTCTATGGTTTTCCCGGTGATCTGAATCGAGGAGGTGCTCTTGTCTTCACGTTTATGCCCGCTGGCACGAAAACACTGCCCTGTGCTGACACCCCATCAGAACCATCACAACCGACCGCAGAAAGAAATGAAATGTTAAAAGCCATAAAAGGAGGCATTTCCAAAGAGACTGTTCCAACATGAAAAATAAACATATCAGATTTAAAAAAAAAAAAAACTTCTAGATTAAAAAAACTGTTAAATACTGGCTCAAAAATACCCACCCACCAAGTCAAAAGGGAGACAGTACCCTGCTGTGGCAAATGATAAAGGACTTTTGTCTTGTAGTTAGTTCTCCACAAGATTCCACAGGATAGGAACACTTACATATTGCAAGGCAGAAAGTTATGCTGTTTATTTCTCAAATTTGATTCCAACTGGATCACAGCTTCAACTTAAAAATGACCTATCACACCCTTTAAGCAAGGGAAAGTATATTTAATAAATAACTTAAATGAAATACACATGCCCAAATTCACACACAAAGTGCCCAAGGGGGCGAGCTATACAAAAGCATGTGTGCGTGGCAAGCACCTCTCCCACCACTCTAGGCCCGGCACACTTCCCTGGGGTACCAACCCATTCAACCAGAGAAAGTCTCCTAAGTCTTAGCTCCCTCCTCAAATAGAAGCCCAGGACAAAGCTGGTGACAGGAAGGTATCAGGTCACTGCTCTGAGCTCTCCACCTGATGCCACACCATTCTGGGAGGAACCACTTAGTAAAGAAAGGAAGCTTCGGGTTAGGGAGAACACTATTTCAGTCCGGTCCTATCAAAAGCAGTCTCTGCATTCACTCATAGCTGGTGCTTATTTTCTCAATAAGGAAAAGCCAACTGGAAACCTACACAAATAAATTTGCTAACAAGTATTTTTAAGAAAGACATATAAATGTTCTGAGAAAGGGCCTTCTAAGAGGCTTATACTCCTCACCATCTGTTGTTCACAATCCATCGAGCTGGAAGGCCAAATCTTACGCTTCTCTTCACTATTGTTGGAGTAGCCAATGCGACAAGAAGTACAGAAGAGAGGACGGACAGCTGGACACAAAACCAAACCGTGCTCCGCCAGCATCATCCTCCGTTTCAGCAGAAACGCAGCTTTTTCAAGAGTTTAAAAGATAACAAGTCCCACTTTGCTGGGCATCCGCTCCCCAGAAGCCTGACTGGGATCTGACACAGGATGAGGGCAGCTCAACGGCTCCACAGAGCAGGCCCACTCAAACGCTCCCGCCACTGGCCACACACCCCCAGGCAGTGAGTATTTACACTCGATCAAAGCCACGCTGCTGCTTACCTCTAACACACACGAACATCCTCAACCCCGTCAAAGCCCCAGCCCCACCTCCAAACTACTCCTTTGCCCACCCTGACAAGGAGAGGGGCGGTGCGGCAACCCTCCTCCAACACTGGTGATCAGCCAACAACCGCTTGTAAAGGAGAACGTGCTCTTTCAAATCCTCTCAGCCCTGCAGAGTGACGCGCCCTTCCTCCCGGGGACTCCAGCTTGCCCTCAGCGGACAGTCTGACCTGCACACCTGATCCCTTAGAAGGATGCAATATAATCCCACCCACCAGCAGTCACCCTGGACACAAAACCGGATGGTCCCATCCTAGCCACACTCCAGAGTTTCCAGTACATTCAGATATTTCAGCAAATCTCTATCGAGCTATCGGTGACTTCCCTTGAATCACAGGGATCTGGCACAGAATATTGGCACCAGAAATGTTTTAGGCGAGGGGAGACTGAATGAAGGCGACAAGTTTGGCAACCACACAATTACTTTGGCACCATGGAGGAAAGGGGAAGAGAGGGAAGGAAGGGAGGAGGGATAACGTTTAATAACTGGCATTTGTTAAAATATGGTATCATTCTGAATTCTCCTTTTTCAATAACGCAGGTCAAATATCCTACACCCTCAGGTCCAAGAAATTATTTTTGTAATTCCAGGAAAGCTGGAAGTTCTTTGGACAAATGGTATTGAGGAATACGGCCTCATGATCTCATGAGATCATGAGATCAAGAGCTTTCCCAAAGCTTATGGTGAAAAAACAAGGGAAAGATATCTGTCTTAGGCATAATTTAGATGACCTATCTAAAAAATGGCTTTAAAAAAACAAACAGCAAATTAACAAGAAACAACCAAAATAACACCCATACTATCAAAACAGAGAAAAGCCCCAAGTATCAGTTAAAAATAATATCAATCCACCAGGACTGACAGCACTTAAAAAAAAACCCAAAAACTGGCAGTTGAAAGAACTTTCAGATTTTTAAAAATAATATCTGCTAAAACAAATTCATGGAATGAGCACTGGAGCCCAGCTGGTTCTGCCCATTTACTGTGCTGTGTGAGCAGGTTGGCTGCTTAGTGGTTTCCCCACAATGCTTCAAAGACAAGAGAAAGAGATGCCAGCGCCCGTTCAGTAGACAGAGTCTGCAGACATTATCCAGTGAGTGCGGTTAGCGGTGTCAGTCAGGTCACAGGATTAGTTGACTTTCACAGTGCTAAACGCAGCAAGCTGCAAGTCCAAGCTTCTCTGAGCAGTAATGACGTCTGGCCCACTAAAGAGGAAATTCCAGGTGGACAACAGGAGTACTCTGGATCCTTCAGAGGAATCCTAGGTTGAAGAAAAAACAAGAATATTAAACACATTCATAAATATTTCTTTTTGCAATCATCCCACCTGAAAGCTAGAGAGGCTGTACTTAATATTTTCTACAAACTGAGGATTAAAGAGCTTAATTGAGAATTTATAACTTCTACCAAGTAAACATTACTTTGTCTACGTGCCTTAATCTCAATTCATTAAAACAACTTAATGGCAATAACAGCTACCGCTGTACTAAGCGCACATTTTGCACCAGACCTGCTCTGAGTTCCTTGTGTACATGATCTCATTTATCTTCACAACAATCTGTGCATGAGATAAAGCTCTTGCCATGTTACAAGTGAAGAATCTGAAGCCTACACAAATTAACTTTCCCCAAGATAAACAGATACAAGCAGAAAAGCTGGGAGTTGAACCAAAGCCTAAGTGAATGCAGAGCTCCGGGCCTTCCCACCACTATGCCTCTTGCCAGCAAATGTTTACTAAATGCCTAGTAGATGCAAGGTACTGTCAGCACCAGGAGGAGGAGAAGAACAGAAAACAGGAAGTCACAAACCTATTCTTAAGTCTGGCCCTTGTCTTCCAAAAGAGAAACTAGCTACAGATACCAGACAATACATGTGAAGCCAATAACTACAATAAATCATACTAAATGTCAACATTTTAGTACCTACCATCAATAAGCAACAGAAAAGGTACATCTGGCTGGATTAGCCAAAGAAGGTTTCAAAGAGGAGGTATGGTTTAGGTTGGCTTTGAAGAATGGGTAAGGTTCTCACTACTGGCGTACTGAAATAATGACCATTAATAAGAAAATAATGAAAATAATGCCCATTAATAAGAAGGTGCTAAATCGGGAGTTCTCATCTGGGAGTAAGTTTGCCCTCTCCTCCCCAGGAGATACCTGGCGATGTTTGGAGGCATTCTGGTTGTCCGAACTGAGGGAAGAAGGGTGCCCTGGCATCTAATGGGTAGAGACCAGGGGAAGCTGCTAACCATGGTACAATGTACAAGGCAGCTCCCCACGACAAAGATCTGACCCAAAAGGTCCACAGTGCCACCTCGAGAAGCCCTGTGCTAAAGAAATGCCTTTATGGAGTGAGCTCTTGATGATGATAGTAAAATGACATTATCGCCTTCAAATAGTAGTAATAGATCTTGTAAAAGATCACCATCAAAAACCTCCAGTTATAGTCATTGCATAAAAGAATTAGATGGCAGGTAAGTGGATCTGTGGCCTTGGAAACTGGAAGAGAGTTCAGATCTGGAAATGCAGGTCTGGGAGCAGTTATCCTACAGAGAAAAGAGAGCTGTGGGTTAGCCCAAGTTGCTGAGAGTTTTGTAAAAGCAAGAGCAGAGGTAAGCAGAGAATTCAAGATAGAACACTTAAAAACACAAAAAGTGGGGCACCTGGGTGGCTGAGTGGGTTAAGCCTCTGCCTTCAGCTCGGGTCATGATCTCAAGGTCCTGGGATCAAGCCCCGCATTGGGCTCTCTGCTCATCAGGGAGCCTGCCTCCCCCCTGCTCTCTCTCTGCCTGCTTCTCTGCCTACTTGTGATTTCTGTCTGTCAAATAAATAAATAAAATTAAAAAAAAAAAAAAACACAAAGAGGAGGGGCGACTGGGTGGCTCAGTCAGTGGAGCGTCCAACTCTTGGTTTCACTCAGGTTGTAATCCTGGGCTGGGGAGAGTGAACCCTTCATTGGACTCTGGGCTCAGCACGGGGTCTTCTTGTCTGTCCCCTTCTGCTCCTCCTCAACCCCACTCACATACAGTCTCTCTCAAATAAATAAAATCTAAAAAAATTAATAAAATGAAGAGCGGAGGGATAGGCCAGCAGTAGTAAGCTACCACAGAGATGGAAAAGTCACAAGGAAGAACAAGAATAAGGTAGCATCATGACAACCAAGGCAAGCCTTTCGGGCTATAGGAGGTGACCAAGGAGAGAACAAAATGGAAATGTCACTGCCTAATCTAATTCCAAGTGTTCGTTATCTGTAGACCCCCACTTTTCTGAATCACTAACATTTTTTTTTTCTAATTTTAAAGTAGGCTCCATGCCCAGCGTTCAGGGCAGGGGGACTGAACTCAACCCTGAGATCAAGAGTCACATGCTCTGTTGACCAATCCCAGCTGGGCGCACCTGATTCACTAACATTTTTGAGAATCTAATAAAACTATACATCCTGTCCTCCAAAAAGGCACCTACACATAAAACGACATCAACAATATCAGGAACTTGAGGGGTGTTAAGCCACTGCCTTCAGCTCGGGTCATGATCTCAAGGTCCTGGAATCGAGACCCGCATCGGCCTCTCTCCTCAGCAGGGAGCCTGCTTCCTTCTCTGTCTGCTTCTCTACCTACTTGTGATCTCTCTCTCTGTCAAATAAATAAATAAAAATTAAAAAAAAACAACAATATCAGGAATTTGATCAGAGCCCTTAGGAGGTCCACACATAACAGCTCAAGAATCCCGGCTCTAAATCTTTTTTTTTTTTTTTTTTAAGATTTTATTTATTTATCTGTCAGAGAGAGAGAGAGAGCATGAGCAGGGGGAGGGGCAGAGGGAGAAGCAGGCTCCCCACTGAGCAGGGAGCCCAATGTGGGACTTGATCCCAGGACCCTGGGATCATGACCTGAGCCAAAGGCAGATGTTTAACCGACTGAGCCACCCAGGTGTCCCTGCTCTAAATCTTCTTGCTAAAATGAACTTGGCTTATTTCCTTAATGCATTTCTCTCTCCTCAAAATATGACTGTCAATATAAAAAGACTTACCATTTCTTGATTCTTTTTTTTTAAGATTTTATTTATTTATTTGAGAGAGAGCATGAATGAGAGAGATCACAGAGGGAGAGGGAGAAGATTCCCTGCGAGCCCAACGCAGGGCTCGATCCCAGGACCCTAGCATCATGACCTGAACCGAAGGTAGATGCTTAACTAACTGAGCGGAGCCACTCAGGCTCCCTTTTTATTATTTTCAAAAAGGAAAAGTATATATGTCTGATACAAAACAATGTATCCTTTAAAAATAACTTACCCTTAGGTTTGATTCACCGACACCCATGTAGAAATACTTAGACACACATAACTCAAACACCCAACTCCCCTCAATCAGACAGCCCTGCCTACAAGTCAGAAGCAAGATGGAAAGAAAAAAGTGCTAAGATAATTCATTCAAGGATAAGGTCTGAGACTATACCAAAATCTAATCTTCTAGAGAAGAATAAAGATTTCTCCATAAGGGCTGGACTTTAGTTCTCTTCCTACTGCTGATGTCTCAAGTCATAATTATGTTCCTGTCTCAGCAGTAAAAAGCACATGTCAAACCAGGGATCACTTCATCTGCCATGTTCTCTCTAGTCGTAACTATTGCTACTTGTTAATGCATCTAAAACATTATTTCAATTAAGACTCATAAGAAATCTGTGAACTCAATGTAACTATTATGCTTATTTTCAGAGGAGGAGACGGGCTCAGAGAGAATGAATGGTTTTCCTGGGCCAGAAGAATGATGACTCAAATCAGGTCTAACAGCAAATCCCCTGGTCCTCCCCGTGGACCACACGGCTTCTTCAGAGGAAAGTACAGCAGCTGCTGCCTTTTACCAGAAGAGCCTGGGGCAACTGGCACTCTCCACGCCAAATAATCTTTTTTGTCCTAAGCATTCTCAAAAATATGTTGTATGAAAAAAAATATGTTGTACGGTATGATTTCCAGGGTCCGTCAGCTGTTTATTAGCTAGAAAGCCTCACTGAAGTCTACACAGAAAAAGAACATAGCTATTCCATGTTTATGGAGCAGATTCTAGCACTTCTGTACTTGGTTTCACAAATTAGTTTACACTTGCTTTTAATTTGCTTAACAAGTGTTCTTAAGATTTCTTTCACATGTGTCCCATCTGTCCAAGAATGCAGGGACTGTGTGGGTCTTCACAGCTCTACCCCCCGGCACCTGGGACAGTGCTGAGCAGATGATCAATAACCATCTGCTGAAAAAGACCCAGCCTGGCAACCTGACGTTGCTTCCGATACTGGGAATTCAAACACTACGACTGACGGACTAGACGCAGAAAGGACTTACGCTCGGTAAGAACACAGAATAAGTACAATCAGTACCTTTTTTCCCTTCTTTCTTCCCCTCAGGCCATTTCAATCTTGTTGGTGTCATCGTGACAGCTGGAGAGCCAGAATATAACTGTAACAAGAACATTTTAGTGGCTTAAATCTGCTAATGTCATTCCTACAGACTTTACTAACAGAATTATTTGCTTGTTCAATTTCCATGTGAAGAGTTTTACTGAGGCTGATTATATTTATATATCATTAGTCTTAACTGATTTTATTGCTGGCTTAATGAAGCTGCATGTGTGGGGCCCCTAGAAGGACTACCCAACAGATACCGCAGTGCCAGCCAGGCCCAGCTCCACAGAGTCTCCCAGCAGGAACTATTCCCTTCAGCACTGTTTGTGGATGTCCTTCACTGTATTTGCCAGCGCCGCATATACTGGCTATATCCTTCTGGAACTCCACATGTTTGTTTTGACCATCAGCATAAATGAAAGGATTTAGAAAAAGGCACCAGAGAAACACAGTAAAACAGGCGACAGTATATCAATATTTCTCCTTTCTACAAATGTACACAAAGAGGAAGGCCAAAGAACAGTATCTTACTAAGTTCATATTTTCTTTGCTGGCTCTCTTCAATTCACCAATGGCTACAGATTCCGGAGTAGGATACTTGTTTTTCTTTTCTGACATCATCTGATTTCCCAGGACCTTCCGCTGATTTAGGAAGAGAAAATAAGTGATTTATAAAGATCTATTATATCCGTATTGTAGCTAAACTGGCTGGTCTTTAAATCTATAGTTCCTTATTTAAAAAAAAATTCAGATTTCAAATAAATTTCAGATTTCTGATAAATTCTCCCAGGCCGTCTTATGCAAGGGAGGCCAAAGCATGTTACAAAAAATCCTGAAATCATTGCCTGCCTTTAGGTGATCCCTTTTCCTCTACATTTGAAATACCTGAAATATAAGAAAGTTTTACAGTTGATTTAAACTAGCTAATGCAGGCAAGTTACAGTGTGCTTCTAAGACCATTAAAAAAAACCACACAGTTATTTAGCCGTATGTTTTTAAAAGCTTTATTTATTTGACAGAGAGAAAGAGCACAAGCAGTGGTAGCAGGAAAGGGAGCAGCAGCCTCCCCACTGAGTAGGGAGCCCGATGCGGAACTCGACCCCAGGACCCTGAGATCATGACCAGAGCCAAAGGCAGACGTTTAACCCACTAAGTCACTGAGGCATTCCTAGCAGCATAATTTTTTCCCCCAAAGATGTGTCGTCCCTGGCAGCTGTTAAGAGTCCCCTCCCCACTCAGGGATACTTCTGCTAGGTCCACTCTAAGTCGGCTTCCCTGTCATGTCTTTGCACAGGATTAGAAAACTTGGAGAAAGTCTTTAAGAGTTTCTAATATAGCACAAGAGCGTACAGGCCATCTTAAGGGGGTCACATGACCATACTGTCATTCAGAGCACGACTAAAATCGCTTTCATCTCTGAACAGCTTAGAAGCTGACATAACCTACTATAATGGCTGATAGTGACAATTCTACCATCTTTGGGGAAATCTTCCCTTTTTTCTTCTTAGAGAATAAGTTTAAATCCCCAGAAAAGAACTTAACAAAACAAGAACATGAAACTCTGCAATATAAATCTTAGCAGCAATTTTTTAAAAAATTATTTACTTATTTATTTGACAGAGAGAGACAGCGAGAGAGGAACACAAGCAGTGGGGGTGGGAGAGGGAGAAGCAGGCTTCCCAAGGAGTGGGGAGCCCAATGCAGGCCTCGATCCCAGATGCTTAATGACTGAGCCACCCAGGCACCCCTCTTAGCAGCAATATTAAGAATATTCCAATATAGGGGCACCTGGGTGGCCCAGTGGGTTAAAGCCTCTGCCTTTAGCTCAGGTCATGATCCCAGGGTCCTGGGATCGAGCCCCGCATTGGGCTCTCTGCTCTGCAGGGAGCCTGCTTCCTCCTCTTTCTCTCTGCCTGCCTCTCTGCCTACTTGTGATCTCTCTCTGTCAAGTAAATAAATAAAATCTAAAAAAAGAATATTCCAATATAATAAATTATTTACATGAGAGAAATTCTGGAGGGAAAAGTCTAGCCCAAAAAAGGGATCAAAGAAGAATATAAATCGAATAGCTAAAACACAGAAATGCTGGAAAAATGAGACCACTACATCTTCCTTTCAGAAATCAGCTATCACCTCAGAGTAAGCTCAAATGGGGATGTCAGGAGCCATAGGACCGGCTATAAAGCTTCTAATGAACATTTTTTAAAAAGATTTTATTTATTTATTTGAGAGAGAGAAAGAGCAAGAGAGAACACAAACAGGGAGGAAGGAGAATAAAGGAGGAGAGGGAGAAGTGGGTTCCCCACCTGAGCAAGGAACCCCATGTGGGGCTCCACCCTGAGATCATGACCTGAGTCAAAGGCAGCCACCCAACCAACTGAGACACCCAGGAGCACCTCCAATGAACTTTCACTTTTTTCATTTTTTTTTTCCATTTCTTTTTTTTTTTTTTTTTTATGTGATGTTAGTCACCACACAGTACATCATTAGTTTTTGATGTAATGTTCCATGATTCATTATTTCCAACAAACTTTTAAAAAGACATTTCAGGGGCACCTGGTTGGCTTAATTGGTTAAGCATCTGACTCTTGGTTTCGGCTCAGGTCTTGATCTCAGGATGGTGAAATCAAGCCCCAAGTAGGGCTCTGCACTCTGCAGAATCTGTTCAGTGAAGAATCTGTTGGAGATCCTCTCCCTCTTCCCCTCCCCCAGCTCTCTCACTCTCTCTCTCTGAAATAAATAAAATCTTTTAAAAAAGGGGAAAAAAAGGAAAGTATCTCCTTAAAGAAAAAAAAGACATTTCATTACACTATCACTATTGAGCAAAAACAATTATCTATTAATAGCTCAAAAGTTTCTTCATTCATAATGAAAATATCCTGTTTCATAAAATTCGTTAATATTTATATTTAAAATTACTGTTCTAAAATGTCTTATACTGATAGAATTATAAGCTCTTTTATAATTCTAAAGTCCTAAATTCTCTCTCCATAAAGAAACGGGCAGCTGCCAAGAGGATACTCCATATTCACATTTCAAGCCACACTAGGCAATACATCTAGAGCCACTGCAGAACTTTCTTTCACTAGGATGAAAAAACTACACCCCTCTAGCTTCAGTTAAAGAAATATTTGACTAATAACTTTTCAGTTTATTTGACTAATAACTTTCTTGTTATCAATCAGCTCAATGACAGGAAGTCAGAGGCAATGACAGACTTCCAAGTAAAATGAACCAACAAGGATATTCATTTTATGAACTACATGCCGCAGGTGAATATACTGCTAGGGTTCTAGAAAAATAAATGACTTCTTAATTATAGTAAAATATATATAATACAAAACTTACCATTTTAGCCATATTAAGTGTATAGTTGAGCAGCATTAATTCCATTCACACTGTTGGGCAACCATCACCACCAGCCATCTCCAGAACTTTTTCATCTCCCCAATAGAACCTGGGTACCCACTAGACAATAATTCCCAATTCCCCCCATACTCTTAGCCCCTGACAACCACCATTCTACTTTCTTTCTCTATGAATTTGACCATTCTAGTTATCTCATATAAGTGGAATCATACAGTACTTGTTCTTTGTGACTGGTTTATTTCATTTAACATAATGTCCTCAAGGCTCATCGATGTTGTAGTATATGTTAGAATTTCCTTTCTTTTTAAGGCCAAATGATATTCAATTGCATGTATATACAATATTTTGTTTATCCATTCACCTGTCAGTAGACACTTGAAGTGGCTTCCACCTTTCACTTACTGTGAATAATGCTGCTACAAACATAGGTGTGCAAACATCTCTTTATGTCCTTGCTTTCAATTCTTTTGGGTGCATACCGAGAAGTGGAACTGCTGAATATTTAATTTTTTGAGGAATGCCATCCTGTTATCCATGACAGGTACACTGTTTTACATTCCCACCAACAGCACATGAGGGTTTCAATGTCTCCACATCCCCACCAACACGTGTTATTTTCTGGCTTTTTCCCTAATAGTCATCCTACTGTGACTTGCTATCTCACTGTGGTTTTCATTTGCATTTTCGTAAAGATTAAGTGATACTGAGCATCTTTTCATTTGTACATCTTCTTGGGAGAAATGTCTAAGTTCTTTGCCTATTTTTTAATTTTTTTTCTTGTTTTTGTAAGAGTTCATTATATATTCTGGACCTTAACTCCTTCTCAGACATGTCTTACAAATGTTTTGTTCCATTCTGTGAGTTGTCTTTTCATTCTGTTGATCACAAAGGAAATTTTGAGGGTAAGCAAGACTAATGCCTCAGAGGCTACTGGCCCCCACAGAATTGAGAGTGAATTCTAAACTTCTATTAATGATAATAGCTAAGACCAAAATGAGATTTAGATAATGTAGCAATGGTTAATAACTGCAGCTTAAAGAAAAAATATATATATTAATTTTATTTTTCATTTTAATCAGAGCTCCTTACTCTTGCTGGATTTATAGATTTTAATAATGTTAAAACAATTTTAAAAAGAAAAACAGCAGAACACAGAACGGTGCTTAATCTCTCTCCAAGTTAACCAGAACCTTGCCTTAGTTTATGCCTGAAAATTCGAACCCCATTATCATGTTATCTACTGCCATCTGATGGCAATATGCAGTAGCTACAAGTTCAGATCGTCCACAAGGATGTGTAAATTGAACAAGCATAACGACGGCATCAATAGCACAGAAGCAGATATTATACTTGTTTAAAAAAAATATTTTTAAGTAATTTGATACAAAGGAAGAGAATATACAACTGAATTAAAATGTTAAGCTTACAAAAATTTCAGCTACCTAAAACTCACTAGCCTATCAGAAAATCCATTTCCTAACCATTTCTGAAAGTCTGTCAACTCCCTCACTTCTCCATAGCTTCTGCAAATTGTGCAGTGAACCTTGTGGCACAAAGCAAAGAACTCTCCACACTGCTCAGGAATGGGGACTCTGTCCTCGGTCCTAAAGAGAAGGAAGGACCTTTCTTTTTCTCTCTAATCGTACAGCCCCTTCTCCAATTTGAAACACAGCAAAATGCTGTCAAAATTAAAAATGTTTTTCTAAATTCTATCTTTATCTTCTTACAAATGAACCCTTTACAGGATCCCAAAGAATAGAAGAAAACTGTTTATGCCTTAAAAAAGTCAGACTGTTAAGCTTTCTCAAAGTCAGACTGTTAAGCTTTCTCAAAGTCAATGCTAAAAATGACAGCATGGCATACCAACCTTAATAAGGCCACTGAAGGAACGTGAACGGGCTCTTTTCTGTACCCGAGGAGTAGGAGATTCTCGCCCTGGCGTTTGGATCACAGACTGTTTATTAAACTAAGAGAAAACAAACATTTTATTATTATTTCCCCCCATCAAGAGCTAGGATTCTACGACAATCAATAGCTAAGTGTAAATATCCAGACAAGTCCAGGAATAAGTAAGTCTGTACACAATATGGATTAGTAGGTTAGAAAGCAAATCTCAAAGGCAGAAATCATGTTGCCAAAAAAGTCAAAATTTATTAAATTACTCTAAGGAGATGGCACTTTATTTTCCTTTTTCTTATGTACTATAAAGTTGGAAGTATTACCCCTATTTTACAGATAAGGAAACCAAAACTCAGAGAGTTATGTAATTTGCCCACGATCTCAGCTGGTAATCAAGATTTTTTGGCAGAAAGTATCTTGGACATAGAGAGTGACTAGCACAACTAAAACAGTTCTTAATTTAAAATAAATTGCATGCAGAATAAAGAAGTTACTAAAGCTCTTTAAATGGACATCTATCATGATTGCTTGCCAATATTATCAGAGGAAATACATCAAAATAAAAAGTGATTAATTTTATCAATATCAGCTGTCTGTTTGATAGTATCTAACATGGAGAAATGCAAGATATAAAACACTGTATTGTCTCGATGTGGAAAACCCAGAAGTCTCCACCCCCAAATTACTAGAATTCATATAGCAATTCAGTAATGTGGCAAGATACAGTATCAATGCATAGAAATCAGCTGCTTTCTTACACACTAACAATGAAACCGTAGAAAGAGAAATTAGAGAATTGATTCCATTTACAATAGCATCAAAAAACCATAAGACACCTTGGAATAAACCTAACCAAAGACGTGAAGGATCTATACTCTAGGAACTTATGAAAGAAATTTAAGAAGACACAAAACAGTAGGAAAACATTCCATGCTTGTGGATCGGAAGAAAAAACACTGTTAAAATGTCTATGCTGCCCAGAGCAATCTATACTTTCAACGCCATTCTGATCAAAATACCAATGGCATTTTTCAAAGTGATGGGACAAACAATCCTAAAAATTGTATGGAACCAAAGAAGACCCCAAATCGCCAAGGAAATGCTGACAAAAACAAAGCTGGGGCATCATGCTGCCTGATTTCAAGCTCTATTACAAACCTGTGATCACCAAGACAGCATGGTATTGGCACAAAAACAGACACATAGACCAATGGAATAGAATTGAGAGCCCAGATATGGACCTTCAACTCCATGGTCAACTAATCTTCAACAAAGCAGGAAAAAATATTCAGTGGAAGAAAAACAGTCCCTTCAATAAATGGTGCTGGGAAAATTGAACAGCTATATACAAAAGAATGAAACTGGACCATTCCCTTACACCATACACAAAGATAAACTCTAAATGGATGAAAGACCTCAATGTGAGACAGGGATCCATCAGAATCTTAGAGGAGAATATATGCAGTAACCTCTTTGACATGGGCCACAGCAACTTCTTTCAAGACACATGTCCAAACACAAGGGAGACAAAAGCGAAAATGAACTTCTGGGGTTTCATCAAGATAAAAGGCTTCTGCATGGCAAAGGAAACAGTCAACAAAACAAATAAGCAACCCACAGAATGGGAGAAGATATTTGGGAATGACACTACAAAGATCTATAAAGAACTTCTCAAACTTAACACCCAAAAAACAGATAAGTCAAAAAATGGGCAGAAGACATGAGCAGACACTTCTCCAAAGAAGACATACAAATGGCTATCAGACACATGAGAAAGTGTTCTCATCATTAGCCATCAGGGAAATACAAATCAAAACCACACTGAGATACCACCTTACACCAGTTAGAATGGCAAAAATCGACAAGGCAAGAAACAACAAATGCTAGAGAAGTTGTGGAGAAAGGGGAACCCTCTTACACTATTGGTGGGAATGCAAATTGGTGTAGCCACTTTGGAAAACAGTGTGGAGATTCATCAAAAAATTAAAAATAGGGGCGCCTGGGTGGCTCAGTGGGTTAAGCCTCTGCCTTCGGCTCAGTTCATGGTCTCAGGGTCCTGGGATCGAGCCCCGCATGGGGCTCTCTGCTCAGCAGGGAGCCTGCTTCCCTTCCTCTCTCTCTCTGCCTGCCTCTCTGCCTACTTGTGATCTCTGTCTGTCAAATAAATAAATAAAATCTTTAAAAAAAAAAATTAAAAATAGAGCTACCCTATGACCCAGCAATTGCACTACTGGGTATTTAGCCCAAATATACAAACATAGTGAAAAGAAGGGCCATATACACCCCAATGTTCATAGTAGCAATGTCTACAATACCCAAAATCTGGAAAGAGCTAAGATGCCCTTCGAAAGATGAATGGATAAAGAAGATGTGGTCCATATACACAATGGAATATTACTCAGCCATCAAAAAGAATGAATACCCAACTTTTGCATCAACATGGATGGGACTGGAGAAGATTATGCTAAGTGAAATAAGTCAAACAGAGAAAATCAATTATCATATGGTTTCACTTATTTGTGGAACATAAGGAAGAGCATGGAGGACACTAGGAGAAGGGAAAAATATAGGGAGAGAAATCAGAATGGGAGACAAACCATGAGAGACTATGGACTCTGGGAAATAAACTGAGGGTTTTAGAAGGGAGGGGAATGGGAGGGATGGGTGAGCCTGGTGATGGGTATTAAGGAGGGCATGGATTGCATGGAGCACTGGGTATTATACATAAACAATGAATCATGGAACACTACATCAAAAACTAATGATGTACTGTATGGTGACTCACAACACAATTTTTAAAAAACCACTGTATTGTCTTATTTAATGCTTTGATTAGCCATTCATCTCCCCAGTTAAAAAAATAATGACCTAGTACTTAATTCTTCTATATATCTGCTTTTTCTAACTATAGTTTTTAAATATGCAAATTATAATTTTGCAAATTTTTATCCGTTCAGATTCAGTTCTGGAGGTTTAAAAAAATGACAATTTTAAAAAAAAATATTTTATTTATTTATTTGACAGAGAGAGATCACAAGTAGACTGAGAGGCAGGCAGAAAGAGAGAGAGAGAGGGAAGCAGGCTCCCACTGAGCAGAGAGCCCGATGCGGGACTCGATCCCAGGACCCTGAGATCATGACCCAAGCCGAAGGCAGCGGCTTAACCCACTGAGCCACCCAGGTGCCCCCCAAAAACGACAATTTTTATACATATTATACGGGTACCAAAAAGTTCTCAAAGTTAATTATCAGAAAATTTAGTCACTTCTAAAGAGCTTAGAAAGCAAGCATCCCTCCTGGATATATTGAGACAACTGACAAACCATCATTTCTGATAATGTTGGCCAGGTACAATAAGAGGGGCTCTCTTGTATCCAGCTGGCTGGAGCATCAATAGTTTCCTAGGAAGCTGTTTAGCAATGTGTGTCCAGGGTCTTTTCAAAACACATACTGTAGTCCCCCTTTATTCATGATTTTGCTTTCTGAGGTTTGCTACCATAATCAACCACAGTCCAGAAGCAGATGGTCCCCCTTCTGATGTATTTTCAGAAGGTCAGTAGTAGCGTAATGCTATGTCACAATGCCTATATATCATTCAGCTCACTTCAGCTAATCACATAAGCATTTTACCATCTTTTTTTTTAAAAGATTTTATTTATTTATTTGACAGACAGAAATCTCAAGTAGGCAGAGAGGCAGTCAGAGAGAGAGGGGGAGGCAGGCTCCCCACTGAGCGGAGAGCCCGATGCGGGGCTCGATCCCAGGACCCTGGGATCATGACCCAAACCAAAGGCAGAGGCTTCGACCCACTGAGCCACCCAGGCGCCCCAAGCATTTTATCATCTTACATCATCACAGGAAGGGTGAGTATAGTATAATAAAATATTTTAAAAGAAAGAACACATTCACATAACTTTTATTATAGTATACTGTTATACTTGTTCTATTTATTAGTTACCATTGTTAATCTCGCACTGTGCCTAATTTATAAATTAAACTTTATTATAAGTATGTATGAAAAAAATCATATATCCATGATTTTCAGGCATATACTGGGGGGTCTTGGAATGCACCCCCCACAGATAAGGGGCAGGAACGACTGTATTAAAAAATACACACCACCTATGAAGTCCTTACTCAAAAACTAAATAAATAAATAAAACTAATTGGTATTCAGATCAAGTTTCTAGAATTGGATCTAACTACAAATTTATCATAAATACAGTGAACTGATGAACATGTTCAATAACACCACAAGGGTGCAACCAGCAAAATCTAGACTGTGGAAAACAAACTATATGGTTTCTTTCACAAATAAAGGGCAGAGAGAGAGAGAGAGAATGTGTGAATATGTGTATTTAAATGTGATATAGTAACCTGGATTAGATCCTGGCACAGAAAAATGGCATTAGCAAAAAAACTTCTAAAATCTGAATAAAATCTCTAACCTTAATAGTAACAGACCAATGTTAATTTCTTAGTATTAACAACGTTAACATTAGGAGTGAAGGGTTCCCTTGGTAAAGGGTACGTGAGAATTCTCTATACTATTTTTGCAATTTTTCTCTAAATCTAAATTATGTCAAACTTAAGATTATTCAAACAAACTTTGGCAATTTTTTAGGGGTAAAACAAAAAGAGGGGAGAGAAAGAAAAACCTATACATTAATAGGGACCCAATAGCTATATCCAGCGAAAAAAAAAAAATGCATACCCTTTGGTCATCCACTTCTAGGAAAACTCTGCAATGAAAATTTATAAGCTAAAAAAAATCTAATTCCCAAATATGTCCAATAGTAGGCAAACTGTATATACATTAGGTTATATGTGATGAAATATTACACAGCATTAAAAATGTTCACAGCCTTTTAACGACATGGGAAATGATCATGATACAATGTTAAACGGATGGGAATTTTAAAAACTGAATATATATTATGACCTCAAACAAAAGAAAAAAATGTTAAATACATATATTCATGGAAAGAAAACACTCATAGAAGAAAATACTCCAAAACTTTTATCAGTGGTTATCTCAGGATGATTACAGGTGATTTTTCTTCTTTACACTCTTCTGGAGGTTGCACTGCTTCTATAGTGAATATTTACTATTCTTATAATCACAGAGAGAAAAATCAGGAAATAGTAAAATTATAGTTTCACCAAAACAAAGTGGCAGTATTTTAAATGTAGCCAAGGAGTTCACAAGGAAGCATGAGAAAATGTTTATGCTATAATGTTTAGTGAAAAAGAGAGAGAAAAGAAAGTATGTGGTATGACCCAAACTATGTAGAAATTTATTGACAGGAAAAAGTCTGAAATACCGAAAATGTAAGCCCTGGTGGGATGAATGATTTATTCTCTTCTTAACCTTCCTCATGATTTCCTATTTTTCTAAAAAGAGCAAAAATGATGTTAGTTTTTCCTTTGTATTACCTTAACCCTCTGCTTTCTTGATGACAGAAGTCATGACACTTGGCCCTGAACTGTTGTCTTAGTTTCCAACAAGAATTAAATCACTACACCACTTTGAAACTGCAATAATACTCAGCCAACGCCCTTGAAAATTTCAGTCATAACACAATTTGCTAAATCTCAAAGTAATTTCAAAGAGCATAACAGAAAACTTCTCTTAAAGGACTCTATCGGGGCGCCTGGGTGGCTCAGTGGGTTAAGCCGCTGCCTTCGGCTCAGGTCATGATCTCAGAGTCCTGGGATCGAGCCCCGAATCGGGCTCTCTGCTCAGCAGGGAGCCTGCTTCCTCCTCTCTCTCTGCCTGCCTCTTTGCCTGCTTGTGATCTCTGTCAAATAAATAAATAAAATCTTTAAAAAAAAAAAAAAAAAAAGGACTCTATCAATTGTTAAGAACAGCTCAGTTCAACATTTTTCTGAGCACACGGTTATGTCTGGCCCTACGCTTCAGATTAGGCATAAAAAAATAAAAACACAGACTTCCCTCAAGAAGGTCCAGTTGAATAAGAAGTCAAGAGGCTGACTATGCCTGTTCAGCTAAAATTCAAGAGGGACTGAGACAAAACAAATTTCCCAAGAAACTAACGAAGTCACGGGGATTTACTCAAACTACTTTAGTCTCAAAATGGCAAATGAGAGACCTAATTTTGCTTCCATTAACTCCAAAATAAACAAACTTAGCTACCAGAATTTCTACTTTCTAATATCAAACTAGGTCCCTGAATTTACAGTGTTTTCTGACTCATTAGTAAGAACTAGCACTTTTGCTCTACTGTGCCAGCCACTTTATATAGTCTCTAATCCTTATATAGTCATGAAACATGGATATTTCAATTACTATTTAAAAAACAAGGAAATTGAAATCAGAAAGATTAAATTATTTGCCAAGAAAATCTGAAGGATTTAAACTTTGGAACAATATATTGCAGCTGCCAGTTCTCTCTCAGCATGTTTGGTACATGACCAAAATTAGAGAAACTCTAACCATACTTGGATCCTTCTGTTTAACTCTAAAAATCCAAGAGCCTCCACTCCTTTCTTTAATGGGACAGTAGTTCAGAGACTGCCATTGAGATTCCACTGACAAGTCTGCTTTCCTGGCCAAGCCAAGCTTGGGCCAATAAGAGCCAAAAATTAAATGAGATTCTTAGCAGTATTCGTTAGTGATTCCACAACCTTGATCACATTCCAAAGCCCCACCACTGTTCCCCTGCCTTCGGGTACCTGTCTAATAAGTTGTTTCTTCTTTGCTGACTCTGGCATATTGTGAACATGTTGGAACAACTCTCTCAATGCCTCTTCCGTACGCTGCTGGGTCTCCTCCTGGTGAGAGCAGGAATCTACCCAATTCCGTTTCTGAGATTTTGTCAACTGGAAGGACTTAGTAGGACATGAAGCTATCAGATCAAGATCATCCTAGAGAAAATTTAAAAAGAAAAGCAAATTAATATATCCTGCCAGCTTTGTTTTCAGGTTTCTACAACCCTGAAACAAAAAAGGAGGAAGAAGTGGGGAGCATGGTATGCTCATACCTAGGAATAAGAAAAAATTTAAATAGAATTATCACATGAAAAGAAACCTATTAATTACAGGCTATATTAATAGCCCACTCCCAAAATCTGCCTAGAGAACCTAAATTTATTTAGAATATTGCTACTGCAGGACGCCTGGGTGGCTCAGTTGGTTAAGCACCTGCCTTCAGCTCAAGTCATGATCCCAGAGTCCTGGGATCAAGTCCCACATCGGCCTCCTTGCTCAGTGGGGAGCCTGGTTCTCCCTCTGCCTGCCTCTTCCCCTGCTTATGCTCGCTCACTCGCTCGCTCTCTCTCTCTCTCTCCTCTTTCTTTCCCTGATAAATAAATAAAGTCTTTAAAGAAAAAAAGAATATTGCTACCAAAAATTATATTTATGTAAGAGTACAATTTTCAAGGATGCCTGGGTGGCTCAGTGGGTTAAGGCCTCTGCCTTCGGTTCAAGTCATGGTCCCAGGGTCCTGGGATTGAGCCCTGTATCGGGCTCTCTGCTCAGCGGGGAGCCTGCTTCCCTTCCTCTCTCTGCCTGCCTCTCTGCCTACTTGTGATCTCTGTCTGTCAAATAAATAAATAAAAATCTTTAAAAAAAAAAAAAAAGGAGTTCAATTTTCAAAGCATCTTTTAATTACATGTAACTCACTGCTTTCCTATAAGGTAGCAGGGAAAGTATCATTTCCATTTGATAGAAGAAAAAATTGAAGTTAAGCCCTAAGTTTAAAGTCATTTAGATACTAACGTGATGGAGCCATCTGGAGACCAAGTGCAAAGGCTCTTGGCTGGTGCTCTTTCCTCCCTCCAGAATATGATGGGATAACTACATAAGAGTGGTTGGAGGGAAAGAAACAACTCTCTAAGAAAAGCTACACAACAGTTAAACTAGTTGACTAGTTGCAATTATACTGTTTTCCTGGTCACACCAAATATTTACTGACTGAAAAGCGGAAAGAAAGAGGAGCAGACACAAGAGCATAAGATGACAGCGTAAGTTCCTAACCAAGAAAGGCTAAATAGAGATCATCAAAAAGTACTTGTGAAGTTTTTTAAACTGCTCAGTTTTGAAGCTTAATAATTATATAGTCTTATTTTTTTTTTAAGATTTTATTTATTTATTTGACAGAGAGAGAGACACAGAGAGAGAGTACAAGCAGGGAGAGCAGCAGAGGGAGAGGGAGAAGCAGGCTTCCCGCTGAGCAGGGAGCCCGATGCGGGATCCCAGGACCCTGGGATCATGACCCAAGGCAAAAGCAGAGGCTTAACCATCTGAGCCACCCAAGCACCCCTATAGTCTTATTAATAAATACCACACATTTGCTTTCTAAGCCCCTGTGGTCTCAAGTCTTTGAGACATTTGACAGAGTGTTACCACTGAACCTGAAACAAGAATGTATTATAGAAAACCGTGATTTATTGCTGTAAAATATTTAATACATTTGCTATTTACAGCCTGTTTATATCGTATGCTATAAGAATGCACAGGGGGTGAGGGGCACCTGGGTGGCTCAGTCACTGGGCATCTGCCTTCGGCTCAGGTCATGATCCTGGCGTCCTGGGATCGAGTCCCATATCTGGCTCCCTGCTTGGCATGGAACCTGCTTCTCCCTCTCCAGCTCCCCCTGTGCTTGTATTCCCTCTCTCACTATCTCTCTCTGTCACAAATAAATAAAATCTTAAAAAAAAAAAAAATGTACAGGTGCTTTATGGAACCCTTTAAGCATGCAGTCTACACCATCACTCATATGTATAGGATACCATCCAGCAGTGGTGCATCTCTGAGAGGAAACAAGATGACTATGTGGGGGCACTCTTATTTCAACATGTAACTTTCAGTCTTTCTCCTTATCTCAAACTGACTAGATAACTTTGAACTATAACAGTAACAATATTTTGGGGCACCTGAGTGGCTCAGTCGGTCAAGCATCTGCCTTCGGCTCAGGTCATGATCCCATGGTTCTAGGATCGAGCCCCACATCGGGCTCCCTGCTCAGCAGGAAGCCTGCTTCTCCCTCTCCCACTCCCCCTGCTGTGTTCCTTCTCTTGCTGTCTCTCTCTCTCTCTCTCTCTCTGTCAATTAAATAAATAAAGAAAATCTTTAAGAAAAACAAAAAATAGTAACAACATTTTATTTTCCATGTTCCAAAAAACATTTATTTTCCATTTTTATTTCCCATTTGCCTTTACTCTGATTTCACACTTTGTTTTAAAAACTCCACTAATCTTTTTTTTTTTTTTTAAAGATTTTATTTATTTATTTGACAGACAGAGATCACAAGTAGGCAGAGCAACAGGCAGAGAGAGAGGGGGAAGCAGGCTCCCCGCCGAGCAGAGAGCCCGATGTGGGGCTCGATCCCAGGACCCCGGGATCATGACCTGAGCCGAAGGCAGAGGCTCAACCCACTGAGCCACCCAGGCGCCCCAAAACTCCACTAATCTTAATTAACTCTCTCATTGTTTGGGCTAAGATCAATTTCCTATTCTTACCTTTGATGCTTGAGTTCTGGAGCCCAAATAGTGCAATCTGGCACATTCCCGAATATAAATAGGAGCCTGGGCAGGATATAAAAAGAAAACCAAGAACAAGTAGTTAGCAGTATCTAAAATTCTTTCAGACCACAAGAATAGTGATTCTTGAAATAATCTGACTGGCAGATTATTTCAGAAAATCAAAAGATCCTTAAAATGCCCTATTCCATAGCTTCCTTTCTCTTGCCACCAAATGGCATCTCAACAGTTTTCTGATAGGAAAACTGTTTTGGAAGGATACTACTATAGTTTAAAAAAATGAAATATGGCATGAATATACTCAAATGAGCCAGAAACAAAAATACAGACATTTGTAATAATGTTTATCTTTGACAAAAACTACCCCAAAAGGGGCACTTTGGTGGCTCAGTCGGTTAACAGGCAGCTCTTGATTCCAGCTCAGGTCATGATCTCAGAGACTTGGGACTAAGCCCATGTGGGGTTCCGAGTTCAGTGGGGAGTCTGCCAGAGTTTCTCTCCCTCTGCCCCTCCACATTCACACATATGCTCTTTCTAAAGAAAGAAATCTTAAAAAAAAAAAAACCTTACAAATTACAAGTGGTCCCTAAGTCACATTTTAAAATCACTGTAAGAAAATACCATTTAGAATTACTATGGGAAATAAGAAAGAAGAGAGGGAGTAAGGGACAGAAGAAATACTTTATGAACTAATAGGAGTAATTTCCAGTATCTACTGTTGAGTGAGACAAGTTCGAAACAGTATATAAAGTACCTGTGTAAGAAAGAAGAGGAAATAGGAACATACATACACATACACACTTATTTATTTTTACAAAAAGAAACACAAGGGGCGCTTGGGTGGCTCAGTGGGTTAAGCCTCCGCCTTTGACTCAGATTATGATCTCAGGGTTCTGGGATCAAGCCCTGCCATCAGGATCTCTGCTCAGCAGGGAGCCTGCTTCCCCCCGCCCCCCGCCCGCCCCGCCTCTCTGCCTGCCTCTCTGCCTACTTATGACCGCTGTCTGTCAAATAAATAAATAAAATCTTTAAAATAAAAAATTTCATAAAAAAGAAACACAAAGGGAACCAGGATATAAATGAGAAAATAATGAAAATGGTTAGGACAATGCCTGAGATTTATCTAAGTACACCTTTTTGTGCTGTTTAGACTTTTGAACCATATAAATATTCTACAGATTCAAAAAATACAATTAGGGGCGCCTGGGTGGCTCAGTGTTAAAGCCTCTGCCTTTAGCTCAGGTCATGATCCCAGGGTCCTGGGATCAAGCCCTGCATCGGGCTCTCTGCTCAGCAGGGAGCCTGCTTCCTCCTCTCTCTCTCTCTCTGCCTGCCTCTCTGCCTACTTGTGATTTCTGTCAAATAAGTAAATTTTTTTTAAAAATCTAAAAAGAAAAAAAAAATACAATTATATCCAAAGGAAAACAAGGCAGTCCCTAAAACTGAACACAAGCAGGAGGGGCGCGTGGGTGGCTCAGTGGGTTAAAGCCTCTGCCTTCGGCTCAGGTCACAATCCCAGGGTTCTGGGATCGAGCCCCGCATTGGGCTCTCTGCTCAGCAGTGAGCCTGCTTCCCCCCCATCTCTCTCTCTCTGCCTGCCTCTCTGCCTACTTGTGATCTCTGTCTGTCAAATAAATTTTAAAAATCTTTAAAAAAAAAAATTAACTAATCATTTCTTTTTAAAAAGAATTTTAAGAATTTTAATCTACTTCTTGCCCTCACAGAGCCTAAAAGCAATGATACTCCAGAAACAATGAGTGTAACTAGTGTCACTCAAAGAAACCAGGGCTCCTTGAAGAAAATGTGATTCCAGGCCCAGGGCAGAGCAAATGCAAAGTGAGCTGGGGACATTTTTATGCCAGGAAGGAAACAGACTAATGGAATCCTGTCAAAAAGACACAGCAGGAAGAGCTTGCCAGGGCTCTCACTGGCCAAATCTGAGACAAGTTGAAAATTAAAATTAACTGAAATTGACTAACTACAAGCCTATGAGTCTATAGAGATGTTCGTTGAAACTGAGGAAAGGAAAGCTCTCTTCCAAAGAAAAAAGTCAACTAATAAAAATTAAACAGTAGAATTAGAAAACCACTGTTTTGTAATACCCAGTATAATCATAGATTCCAACAGGATTATCAATGGATGCTAAAATCATTACATTAGGTAATCACCCTGCAGGTTACTTACTAATTGCGAAGAGAAAAGAATACCTTTATAACTGAGAGATGTGGCAGTTAGCAAAATTAGCGTCCCTGAGAGGGAGACAATCTGACATCCTGCGCCTCCTAATGTGATGCAATCTGACGCAATACGATGTACACAAACACCACCTGTGAAGCTTTGCCAAATACGTTTAACGTGAATCTAATCAAGCCTCTAGACCTAACTTACAGTTTACAGGAACTACAAAAAAAGGGGGCAGAGAACATGTCAAATAACCTTGAGAAAACAATAAGACAAATTTAGGATATGGAATATTCTATAACTCAATTGGCCTGAATGTGTCAACAAATCAATGACATGAAGGAAAAGCATCAGGACTGTTCCAGATTAAAAGTGTGATAATCAGGGGCACCTGGGTGGCTCAGTGGGTTAAAGCCTCTGCCTTCAGCTCGGGTCATGATCCCAGAGTCCTGGGATGGAGCCCCACATCGGGCTCTCTGCTCAGCAGGGAGCCTGCTTCCTCCTCTCTCTCTCTGCCTGCCTCTCTGTCTACTTGTGATCTCTCTGTCTGTCAAATAAATAAATAAAATCTTAAAAAAAAAAAGTGTGATAATCAAAAGCAAAACACAAACCTCCATTACCTTACGTTATTAAAAACAGCAGCTATGAAATACACTCTTAGGATTTACTGGGGGAATTTGAATCTGTATTGAATATTAGCTATTATGCAATTCTTATTAATCTTCTTAGGATAATGGTACTGTGACTATTAGGAGAATGTTCGCAGGAGATGCATGCATCAGTATTTATATACGAAGTATTACGATGTCTGCAATTTACTATCAGGGGTTCAGCCAAAAACAAAACTAAACAAAAAAAATGAATATATGGAATAAGATAAAGCAGATATGGCAAATGGTAACATTTGTTGAACCTCAGAACAGTGAGTGTTCACTGTTTTACAACTTTTATCTGTATTTGAAAAACTTCAGAACGAAGTTTTAAAAAAAGAGTCTTGAGACACTAAGACACCTACAGTTCAATTTTCTTTTTAAGATTTTATTTATTTATTTGACAGAGAGACAGCAAGAGAGGGAACACAAGCGGGGGGAGTGGGAGAGGGAGAAGGCGGCTTCCACGAAGCAGGGAGGCCGACGCAGGGCTTGACCTGAGCTGAAGGCAGACACTTAAAGACTAATTTAATTTTTACCTTGGTAAACTATAAAGGCAGAGCTCAAAACCAAAAGAAATTTCCTCCAAACAAGACTATGACAGAGCCCATACCCACTTATTCTACGAAATTCACTTTAAAAAAAAAAAACAGGTGTCTGGTGGCTCAGTCAGTGGAGCATGCGACTTTTGATTTTGGGGTTGTGAGTTCAGGCCCCATGTTGGGTGTAGAGATTACTTTTTAAAAAGTTAAATTTAAAAAAAAGAAAAAAGGGGACGCCTGGGTGGCTCAGTTGGTTAAGCAGCTGCCTTCGGTTCAGGTCATGATCCCAGTGTCCTGGGATCGAGTCCCACATCGGGCTCCTTGCTCTGCAGGGAGCCTGCTTCTCCCTCTGCCTCTGCCTGCCATTCTGTCTGCCTGTGCTCGCTCTCTCTCTCTCTCTCATAAATAAATAAAATCTTTAAAAAAATAAAAAATAAAATAAAATAAATAAATAAAAGAAAAAAGAAAAATAGCTCTGCCCCCAAAAGACACTCTCTCTAAAAACAAAGCAAAACATGGGGTGCCTGGTGGCTCAGTTGGTTAAGCATCCACCTTCAGCTCAGGTTAGGATCCCGCGGTCCTGGGATCGAGCCCCTCATTGGGTTCCTTGCTTAGCCAGGAATCTTCTTCTCTCTCTCCCTCTGCCCCTCCCCCCACTCATGCTCTCTCTCAAAACCTTTAAAAAAATAAAATAATAAAAACAAAATAAAACAAAAAACATTCTTTGTCCTGTTGTCCTTTGTCTACTGTTTGTTTGTTTTTTTTTTTTTTAGATTTTACTTATTTATTTGACAGAGATCACAAGTAGGCAGAGAGGCAGGCAGAGAGAGAGGGGAAGTAGGCTCCCTGCTGAACAGAGAGCCCAACGTGGGCTCGATCCCAGGACCCTGAGATCATGACCTGAGCCAAAGGCAGAGGCTTAACCCACTGAGCCACCCAGGCGCCCCCTTTGTCTACTGTTCTAATCCACTTATCTAGATCTTGACCTCTAATGGATGAAAATCTTTGACCTGAGCACCCAAGCCTGTGATGCAGCCCTCTGTGTGCCAGCCTACTAAGATTCTGATTTTCATTTCTAAACTCTGGACTCTGGATCACTCACCATCCTACAGTCAATAAATCCTAGGATGGCCTCTATGTTCACACCCTGCATTTACTACAAAACTATAGTCATCACAATAATATGTTACCGGTATAAAGAAAAACATATAGACTAACTGTATAGAACAGAGAGTCCAGAAATAAACCCTCACATATATGGTCAAATGAGTTTCAATAAGAATGCCAAGACTATTCAATGGAAAAAGGACAGGTTTTCAACAAATGATGCTGGGAAAACTAGATATCCATAGCAAAAGAATATGGCTGGACACTTAACTTAATACCATATAGGAAAATTACCTCAAAATAGATCATAACCTAAATATAAGGCCTAAAACTGTAAAAAAAAAATGTTTAAAAAGCATACAACAAAAGCTTTGCAGCACTGGATTTGGCAGTGATTTCTTAGATGTGACACAAAAGGCACAGTCAACAAAAGGAAAAATATAAACAAATGGGAGACTTCACAAAAAATTTTCAATTTTGTGTACCAAGACTCTATTAACTGAGTAAAAAGGCAACCCACAGAATGGGAGGCAATATTTGCACATCATACATCTATCCAGATATATATAAAGAACTCCTACAACTCAACAATAAAAGAGCAACCCAATTTAAGAATGGGCAAAGGGGACGCCTGGGTGGCTCAGTTGGTTGGGCAGCTGCCTTCGGCTCGGGTCATGATCCCGGCGTCCTGGGATGAGTCCCACATCGGGCTCCTTGCTCGGCAGGGAGCCTGCTTCTCCCCTGCCTCTGCCTGCCATTCTGTCTGCCTATGCTCGCTCTCTCTCCCTCTCTCTCTGACAAATAAATAAAATCTTTAAAAAAAAATAAAAAAAAATTTAAAAAAATTAAAAAAAAATAAAAAAGAATGGGCAAAGGCCTTGAACAGACATTTCTCCAAAGAAGACAAGCAAACAAGCAATAAGCACGTGAGAAGATACTCATTGACTCATGAATCATTAAGGAAATGCAAATCAAAACTACAATGAGGGACGCCTGGGTGGCTCAGTTGGTTAAGCAGCTGCCTTTGGCTCAGGTCATGATCCCAGCATCCTGGGATCGAGTCCCACATCGGGCTCCTTGCTCGGCAGGGAGCCTGCTTCTCCCTCTGCCTCTGCTGCCACTCAGTCTGCCTGTGCTCACGCTCTCTCTCTCTGGCAAATAAATAAATAAAATCTTAAAAAAAATAAATAAATAAACTACAATGAGACACCACCTCATAACTATCACCAAAAAAAACCACAAAATAACAAAATAACTGTTGGTAAGGGTGTGAAGAAATGGGAAATCTTGTACATCACTGGCAGGAATGTAAAATGTCGCTATAGAAAATAGTATGGCAGTTCAGTGAGAATTACCATGTAATCTAGCAATTCCACATCTAGATACCCAAAAGAATTAAAAGTAAAAGCAGTGTCTCGGGGCACCTGGGTGGCTCAGTGGGTTAAAGCCTCTGCCTTAGGCTCAGGTCACGATCCCAGGGTTCTGGGATCCAGCCCCGCATGAGGCTCTCTGCTCGGCGGGGAGCCTGCTTCCTCCTCTCTCTCTGCCTGCCTGTCTGCCTACTTATGATCTCTGTCTGTCAAATAAATAAATAAAATCTTTAAAAAAAAAAAAAAAGGAGTGTCTCAAAAAAGATATTTGTATACCCATGTTCATAGCAGCATTATCCACAGGAGCTAAAACATGGGAGCAACCCAAGTGTCCTCAACAGATAAATGATAAGCAAATGTGATATACACAATGAAAGGGATATTACTGATCCTTAAAAAAGGAAGGAAATTCTGACAAATACTACAACGTGGATGAACCCTGAAAACATGCCAAGAGAAATAAGCTAATCACAAGAAGTGTGATTCTACTTATATGAAGAACTTAGTCAATTCTCTCTCAATTCTCAGCTTTTCCAGTTGGCAAGACACTAAAATTGAGAAACTCACTATCAGGGAAGTTTGCTCTACAGAAAAAACCAAGAATATGACTGTGCAACTTTTTGTTTGAATCTTAGAAACATCAAAAGGTCAAAATTTCCAGTCATACAAAGGGCCCTTTCAAGAGAACAAAGATTGTCTCAATCAAATCAGAGGGCCTCTAGAAAGCAGAAAAGGTACTATTCCTCAGTCTTCTCAGCAGGAGACCATGGTAGAAAAGGGTTTGTCTTCAAAAGATCTGTATATGTGGGTTTTGTCTAATGGAGTGACTCCTTCTGAAATCCATAGAACCACAAAGTTGAGAAAATTATGTGGCCAGAAATATTGACAGTTTGGACTAAAAGGGACAAAGTACAAAATGAAAAGAGATTGTCAGACCCTCAAAACCCTACTGGTAGGAAGCAGGCAGGATAAACTTACCCAACTGCCAATACACACTGGCTTTCATGAAAAAGGAAAAATGACTCAGTGGAGCCAATTAACCTACTCAGCCTCCAGATACCTTCCTATTCCTCCCCACCTTGGCCGTTTTCTCTGGGTTTTGCCACTGTCCAACCTGGTTTCAAGTCCCAATCAGGACCTTTTTGGTTGTCATCCTTATATCCCTGATGAGAATCCCACCATGCTTCAACCTCCTTATCTTGTTACCACCCAAATCCCATCCCTTACTTACCTTAAAAAGTTTCTGGGAGTGTTTAATCATAAAAGCCATCCCATTGTTTAACTTTGTGATATTTTCTTGAAGGTCATTTGCAGTGACCTATTCAGAGGAAAAAAAATCAAAAGAGGGGGATTAAGAGCTGGGAAATGGGGGTGCCTGGGTGGCTCAGTGGGTTAAAGCCTCTGCCTTCGGCTCCGGTCATGATCCCAGGGTCCTGGGATCATGCCCCACATCAGGCTCTCCGCTCAGGGGAGAGCCTGCTTCCTCCTCTCTCTCTTTCTGCCTGCCTCTCTGCCTACTTGTGATCTCTGTCAAATAAATAATAAATAAAATCTTAAAAAAAAAAAAAAAGAGCTGGGAAATGGAAGAGATACTCCATTTACTTACCAATAAGCTTATTTTTTCAAAGATACAGTGGCTTTTTTTCCCTAACAACAGTGCTTCTAATATAATGTTTAATTCTGGAAAGGCATTTTGGTTCAGCAGGTTTCTACTGAAAATGACATAACCTAGGAGAAACCAGGTGTCCCTGAAGTTACCAAAAAATCCTTGAAAAACAATCTTTGTTTCCTGATTCTGCTCGAGAATTATACATGCAAGCAGAGCTGCTTAAGAGAATCTAGTCTGGGATTCAAAATTGGCAGGAAGAACAGAATCTATACCAATCATCAAGGACACTGCCTCTTCAGAGAAACTGTAGTTTCTCCAAAAGGTGAGAGAACTGTCACTACTAGTTGATACCAAAGGTGACATCTGTTTCTTAAAAACACATATGGTCATTGATTTTCTTCTCGTTTCTCCTGCCTCTAAAAAAGAGCACTTGAGCATCTCTACTATCCCAAAGCCCTCATATCTCTGTTACTTAATCTGTTTGCTGTTACCAAGATCTCTTAATATTTTTCTATAGGCAGAGATTACTCACTTTTTTCATAATTTCAGTTGGCTGGTTCTAAAATTCTTTCATTAGGAGGCTTGACCTCCTTAATACAGACAAATGTTGGTGTGTCCTTTTATTCTTACCCACCTTCCCCAAAACCTTTGTCTGGGTAGAGGTTCTTCCGGCCTGGAAGATCACATTTTTTTCACTCGTTACTTGTTATGTAAAATATTCCATACTACTCCTTTCCCTTTTTTTTTTTTTTTTTTTTTTGGTAAAGTAAACTCCATAAGCCCATTGTGTGGCTGGAACTCAGGACCCCAAGATCAAGTTTCAGCAAGCTCTACTGACTGAGCCAACCAGGCATTCCACAACTGCTCTCCTTAATCTTCCTTTTCTCATTTTTTATAATCCCAAAAATCTTTTATAAGTCACCATATCTTAACTATTTCTAGTCCAACAACTAGAGATAAGTGATAAAATACTAATTTACGCCCAATTTACAGAGAAAGAGCCTAAGTATAAAAAGGGCAAAGGATGGGCACCTGGGTGGCTCAGTGGATTAAGCCTCCGCCTTCGGCTCCAGTCATGATCTCAGGGTCCTGGAATCAAGTCCCGCATCAGGCTCTCTGCTCAGCAGAGAGCCTGCTTCCCCCTCTCTCTCTGCCTGCCTCTCTGCCTACTTGTGATTTCTCTGTGTGTGTGTCAAATAAATAAAATCTTAAAAAAAAAAAAAAAAGGGAGGGGGCAAAGACACAGATAATATAGCTGGTTTGCAACTTCCAACCCAAATATTCTGGCTTCCAATTCCATCATGCAATAAAACCCACATTATGAATGGGCAGGAACAGGGGCACCTGGGTGGCTCAGTCAGTTGGGCATCTGCCTTGGCTCAGGTCATGACCCCGGAGTCTCAGGATTGAGCTCTGCATCAGGTTCCCTCCTCAGCTGCAAGTCTGCTTGTCCCTCGCCCCTCACCCTGCTCATGTTCCCTCCCTGCTTCCCTCTCTGTCAAATAAATAAAATCTTAAAATATATAATATATAAAAAATATATCTCATATATATCATATATATGGGCAGGAACATATATATGATATATATACAGGCAGGAACATAAAGCTAGATGCCTCCAGGTCAAAAATTAGTTCAAAAGACTTTTATAATTTATTTCTCACTTAAGTCACTGAGAAAGCCATGGTCTCAGTAATAAAAAACACATTCAGCTTTTTCCAAGGAAGGCATATCTACAAGAAATAGAAAAGTCAGGATAAGGCAGGATTGATCTATATCATCTTACCTAAAAGCTTAGTGACATTATGTTGTAAAACTGTATGGTTCTAGTCTAAATTTATACTACACAATCTTCAGAAATCAATCTAATTTTTCAAAAGCCTTTCCTGTTAAGAAAGAATATACAGTGACCAGCCAAAATGAGTATTCTAGTTTAGTTAGTAGCTATAATTTTCTACTAAGAGCTTCCATTAATAAATGATCTTTCAAATTTATCAGAGATTGATTTATACATGAGGTTACAAGAATTGGCCCCTTCAAGTTTAATGACTCCCAAATGAACTAACAAAGTATGTCCCTAACATTGTAAAGCTGAAGAGTAGACCTTGGACCCTTGATAACCTCACCAAGGTACAGCCCCAGGATGAGGCCAAGCCCAAGAAAACCAAGCAATCTTTGCTCTTCCCCTCAACACTCACATTTTTCGGCCACAGGACATGGGGTGCAAACATAAGGGCAAGGTTATAGGCAGACATCTTATTCTTGTCTTGTTTCTTTGCTGTCTGGTACAGGAGATCAAGCAATAACTTCAGCAAGTTACGATTGGGTGGAGGGAGAATGAGGAAGAGCAACTGGAGAGCCTCAATTTGCCGCTCCTTATCTGGAACATTGGTCTTGTTTCCTTTATCATCAAACTGCATCAAATCTTGAGGACAAAAGAAATGATTGCAAAGGAGGGAGAAAATACAAGGAAGAAAAATCAACATGCCTACTATTATCCTCCCCTCAACTCCAATCCAAAAAAGGATGAAAAAAAGAATCAGGCATAAACACAGATTATAGCAAAATATAATAGTGTCAGTATTCAATAATAAAAAAAAATTTTTTTAAATTTTAAATAGGCAAAAGACTTGAATAAACATTCCTCCAAAGAAGATATACAAATGGCCAATAAGCATTTGTATATTCTATATTACTAGCTATCAGAGAAAAGTAAATTAAAACCACAATGAGATACTACTTTATACCCACTAGTATGGCATAACCAACAAACTGAAAATAACAAGTGTTGGCAAGAATGATGAGAAAATTAAACCCTCCTACATTGCTGGTAGGAACGTAAAATGATGCACTTTGGAAAACAGTTTGGCAGTTCCTCAGAAAGCTAAACATAGTGTTACCATATGACCCAGCAATTCCATTCCTAGAAAAATATTCTTAGGGATATAGAGAAACGAAAACATGTCCACACAGATCTTTGACAATGCCACCCCCTCATTTTTCCTTACCCAGATATTTTACTGTTAGAAGAAATATGACAATGAATTATGCGGGAATAGGAGGATGATCCACACAGCTCCCCCATGGAATCAGAATCACTGTTTCTCCCCAAAGAAGCTACACACATTATCGATAAAAACAGTCCCCTTGATAATCAGAACTTCAAAGGACACAAATAACCATTTGGATATAATTCTAAATCCTGAAAATGATTACACTGTGTTGTTTAAACTATTTAACTTCAATAATAATTCCAAGTTTAGAAATGGCAGATAATATTTCTAAAACCTATTCTCTGTTAACATGAAACTGAAAACAAAAATCCCTTCCAGTTATCAGCAAGGCATACCAAATGCTACAATTGTGCCACACCTCAATATGATCACAAGGAACAGTGAGTCATGGGGTGGGGGAGCTGAGGATTTCAAATATTGCACTAAATTAACTCAACAGAAAAGTGAACGGGATAAGCATTCTTCATGTTAACACTTATAAAAAAAGTATCAGTATTTTCTGTATCTTTTTCGAGATCCAACTTTATTTCTCTCCAAAATAATTATAAAGTTATATAACATTCTAATAGTATTTATTCATTTGTATAATTCAGATTGCCACTGAGAGTGCTAAAAAACAAATCTACCCTTCTGAGATTTTACAAATTCAAAGCTAGTTTTTTAAGTAGTAAAAATTAGGGACACCTGGGTGGCTCAGTCACCTGAAAGTTTGCCTTCAGCTCGGGTAGTGATCCCAGAGTCCTAGGATCCCAGGCTCCTTGCTCAGCAGGAAGTCTGCTTCTCCCTCGGCCTGCAGCTCCCCTGGCTTGTGCATTCTCCCTCCCTCCCTCTCTCTCTCTGACAAATAAATAAATAAAATCTTAAAAAAAAAAAAAGTAGTAAACATTACTCAACAGAAAAACTTGTATTTTCCTTAAAATTAGAAAGAAAGAGGAAAATGGCCAAGGGCAGAAACCAAGTAAATGCAGTACGGATTTTGATGCCCCATGCTCTGAGAGTCTATAGCAACCTAAGAGCTGTGCAGTCTAAGAATGAATTCCCCACCGCACAGACATAAAAGAGAATGAGGGAAATATGAGCTGAAAATGGAACATCCACAAGAGAAAAAGAATATATGTATTTGTTTGTAAATGTGTAAAATACCTCTGAAAGGATACACTAAAAATCAATTGCCTTGGTTGCCTCCAGGAAGAAAAACTGGGTATTGGGAAACAGAGGTGGGAGAGGGGCTTTTTGCTGTATACTTTTATGAATCTTTTGAATTTTGAACCGTGTGAGTGTACTGCTTATTTAGAAAACAAATAAAATTATTTTCAAGAAACAAGTTTCCAGGGCGCCTGGGTGGCTCAGTGGGTTAAGCCGCTGCCTTCGGCTCAGGTCATGATCTCAGGGTCCTGGGATCGAGTCCCGCATCGGGCTCTCTGCTCAGCAGGGAGCCTGCTTCCCTCTCTCTCTCTGCCTGCCTCTCTGTCTACTTGTGATCTCTCTCTGTCAAATAAATAAATAAAATCTTTAAAAAAAAAAAAAAAAGAAACAAGTTTCCAAGATTACAGATGATCTCAACTGAGCCATAGTAAGACTTAGCTAAAGTCCCAAACCACTGCAAATATAGCAAACCTGCAACCATCTCAGGTACGTGAATCAATCCACAGAAAAGCATTCATTTATTAAGCAACTAAAATATTCAAAGCACAATGCTTTGTGATCCATCTTGTATCCCTGACTCATCAGGGATACAAGAATAAATAAAACCCAGAATTTATCATCAAAGAAGCTGATTTAACAAGAAAAACACCTGAAAACCTAATTAGCCAATACTACCCAGAGAGCCCAAAATATCATTAAGTCTCAACCAATTTTGCCAGAAGTAATGCTATGGGTTACAAACAACAGAAAATGCCAAACAACTTTACTCAATCCAAAGAAATGTATTCATTTACACCTCCTTCTCACCCCCTATACTCACCAGCAATTTTGAGGTGTGCATGGAAATGTTTATGAGTCAGCAGGGGCTCAGGTAACTCTCCCAGAAACATCTTCAGCAAGGTAGCAACGTCATTTGAATGAAACTCCCCTGATTCCAAGTCAATATCAGTTCCATTATTGAGAGCATCTCTTAAAATCTGCTGTCGGACACTATTCCCTGGAACTCTAAACAAACCCTCTACTCTCAAGTCTGTTTAGCATGGAAAAAACAGAGGACATGCAAAAAGAAGTCACAATTAAAATAAGTCATCTAAAAGATTAGGCTTGTAAGACCTTTTATAAAGACCTTGAAGGAGGTTTTCTCCTCATTTCCCAGAAAAGTTTTAAATCTACTGGCCCCTAAGGAGACTTGTCTGAACATCCCTGAGCACCTGGAGACAGTCTGCCCAGGACCAGGCACATTCAGAGACTGAATTTTACCTAAACAATGACTGGAATGAGCTTGAAAAATAAGTTGGAAGAAAGCCAAATCTCCCAGAAGGCTCCTTCCCTTTGGTTATCTCAGACTTTGTCTGGAGGGAATGAATTCATCTGTGGTAGTCTGTTGCTCCTATAAATGGTTTCTCAATCCAAAATGAATCTAGAGTCTCTGCACTGTCCCAGAAATCAGAATTCTAACCTGTCAGATCACCTTTCGGACTGAGACTCCCAGAAGCTTAGGATCACCCCAACTGAACTGTTTTTCCCTTCCAACTAGGTTCTAAGCTAATCTAAGAGGATAAAGAAAAATGAGAATTAGAGTTTTGGTTCAATCTGGAAGAACCATGAGAGTTCATGTTTTCAACTTAGGTACATATTTATTTTTGTATAGCCCCCTAATTCAGGGGTTCAAGTTCAAATGCCTTAGAGGGCCAGACAGATAATAATAAATGAATGAATGGGAACCAGAACAAACTAGAGAGTACATACTTGTGCTCCAGCTGATTGTGCCCAAGGGAGGGTCCCAAGATACTAGATCTTCCTATCACCCAGAGAATTCAAAAACCTGGACTTTCCCCATTCCCCACTGATAACTGATTTTATTTTTACTTTAATCCTTTCCCAACCAAACCAAATGTGAACGTAAAGGACTCAAGTCCTTATGCCATCAGTTTGCAACCTCTTCTCTAGCTCCTACCAGAATGCCCCACATAAAACAGTCAAAAATAAGCATTTGTATTGAATTTATCAAAGTATCACATACACCACACATTTCACAACACTCAACTGTACCAAGCACTTACAGCAAGACATAACCAGCATGAACACAAAATAAATAATCATTAAGCAAAGAATATATATATATATATTTTTAAAGATTTTGTTTATTTATTTGACAGAGATCACAAGTAGGCAGAGAGGCAGGCAGAGAGGGAGAAGGAAGCAGGCTCCCCGCTGAGCAGAAAGCCTGATGCGGGACTCGATCCCAGGACCCCGGGATCATGACCTGAGCCGAAGGCAGAGGCTTTAACCCACTGAGCCACCCAGGTGCCCCCAAAGAATATATTTTAATTATAGAATTCCAGAGATGAAAACTATTTTTAGTGATAAATCATGTTCCCTTGAGTAAAGATCATGATTCTTTATAATGTATTTTTCCAGAAAAAAAAAAAAAAAAAAAGCCTGAGTCTAGAAGAAAATGTGATTTTATAGATACTAATTTATCTACATCTTTGAGAGTATAAAACAAACCAATATATGAGATGAAATTTAAAAGGGAATATATTTAGGGGAGCCTGGGTGGCTCAGTGGGTTAAAGCCTCTGCCTTCGGCTCAGGTCATGATCTCAGGGTCCTGGGATCGAGGCCCGCATTGGGGGGAAGGAGGGGGTCTCTGCTCAGCAGGGAGCTTGCTTCCCCCTCTCTCTCTGCCTGCCTCTCTGCCTACTTGTGATCTCTCTCTCTGCCAAATAAATAAATAATAACCTTCAAAAAAAAGGGGGGGGAATATATTTAGAAACATGCCACCTAAAATTATCATTGGTTAGTATCTTTTGTTCACTGGCACCTACTTACTCAAGGAAGTTAGCTTTCAACAGAAAACTGACAATTCTTCATAACAAAGAATAATAAAATCTTGAGAACTCTTACTTTTGTGTAGATACTCAATTAGCTGGTATATCTGGGCAATGCCTTCCTCCGTCAATGGGGATCCAAATACCACTCCTTTTTCTAAAAAACCATACAACAGGACAGAGCTATATTTTCTATATATAGTACAAAATCATCATTCTTAAAGCCACTCACGCATCCTATATTACAGTTCAGCAAATGCTTTCACAGATTCAATAAACAGAACCTTAAAGCTAGAAGTATACCCAAAAATTCAACAACTCTCAATCAACTCTCCACAAGTTTAATATTAGTCATAGCTTCCTTGAAGGCAAAGACCATCTTCTTAGTTAAGTAACAATACCTAGTGTGTTGATATTTAACTTAAAAGAAAAACAGAGAGGCGCCTGGGTGGCTCAGTCAGTTGAGCATTCCACTCTTGGTTTCAGCTCAGGGCATGATCTCAGGGTCCTGAGATCGAGCCCTGCATTGGGCTTCAAGCTCTCACAGAGTGCATGAGATTCTCTCTTTCCCTCTCCCTTTGCCACCTCCCCCACTCCAGCCATGCACTCTAAGATAAATAAATAAAACCTTTAAAATAGATAAATAAATAAACAGAATTTAGAACCACGACTGTCAAAATATGACAGATTATTCACTGGAATTGGTATAAGCCTGATCTGTTATAATGTTCAAACTTTTTTTCTACCATAAATGATTTTCTTATACTTAATAAAATAGTACCTCTATAATATCTTATCAAAAGTAGTCCACAATTTATTTTCTAGGAAGACTTTTATTTTGGGTGACTCATAGATATCTGCCTTATCAAAACAGTCCATAGAATGAAAACATTCGAGAACTGCGATAAAGAAAGTTCAAACTTTCTTTACTGTACTCTCCAGCTATGTCATAGGGCATGAAAATCAAGGTGACTACCTAAACTGAATCATGTCACCTTTCTCAGGGACTGATATACTTGCTTTAGTTTAGCTACTTTATAAATTTTTATTGCTAACCTGAGATTTTACTACTTAAGAAAATGAGAAAAATGCCCCCCCCCCCAAAAAAAACCAAAACCAAAAAACCTTTACATAATAGCAACTCAGTGAAAGTACAGATGTGAGGAGGTGAAGCCCAGGGAGCAGCTGCGACCTGCCCACCCTTCACAGACACGTGCCCTACCCTTTCGCTTGAGAGACATTAGAGACCGGAAGAATCCTGACGTTGGGCCAGCCCCACCAGGCAATTTAAGGTCCACTTCCCCCATCAGCTGAGCCAGCTCAGTTCCAGGTAAGTCAATGAGCCTTGTGATATTGCTGACCACCAACTCGGTGAACACCTCAGGTTTCTCATGTCGGAGTTTCTCCACAAAAAAGTCAGGATTGAAGATAATGGGCTGCCCTCGAAGGGAAGAGTCATTGCAGATAACAAAATTGCAGATGGCATCACTGAAAAAAATGAAACAAGACACTTTAGGGGGATCATTTGTGCATGTTTCTCGTGCTCTGTAAGCCATACAATTATTCACTGTTTCTGTGGGTTAACCTACATATTGGTTTAAAAAACCTAATCCTTAGTCTGTTCAATGTACAAAAGAAGACAATTTGAGCTTGTTGCTATTTAGGTTATGCCCACCTAGATACTTGGGAATTTCATCTAATGAAAAGATACTAAATAACCTCTAAATACAACTTGACTCCCTGCTCAGTGGGGAGTCTGCATCTCCATCTCCCTCTGCCCCTTCCCCTCCTCCTGCTCATTCGTGCCCTGATAAATAAAATATTTAAAAGTAAATAAATAAATAAGACCCGATTTTGCCCCTTAATTTCAGGTGTACACCATAAGACATAGATCCTTAGAGCCTCCCTAGCCCATTGGTATATTAAATTTGGTAGTCACACAGAGCACATTTCCTTATTAAAACAGCAAAACCCTGAATTTTTACTGTTAAATACTAGTAAGATGCCAGACCTGCCGCTGTTCTTCCTAACACAGCATGGGTAATAGTTAAGGCCTTCTTGGGACTATAGCCAGTACCGTACAATATTTCTCATGCAGTGTCCCAACTGTTGACAGTACCACATTTAGGCCAGTCTCAAATGCCACGGAAACCACATGACAGAAAGCATGAAACTATTTAAGAGCTAAAACTACATTTAAATAGTGTAGTAGGCATTTTGGAGACATTTACTCTACCCATACAGTTATTTGGTTCCTGGGTCCCTACACAGGTGTTTGTTTTCTCTTTCTTTCTTCCTTCCTTTCTTCCTTTCTTTATTCCTTCCTTCCTTTTTCTTTCTTTCTTCCTCCCTTCCTTTTTCTTCCTTTCTTTTTTTAAAAAATTTTATTTATTTATTTAAGAGGGAAAGAGAGGGAGAAAAAGCAGCAGACATCTCCCCCCCCCACCCCCACCAAGCAGGGAGCCTACACAGGCGTTTCCTAATCAGCCCGCTTTCTTTTTTTTTTTTTTAAGATTTTATTTATTTGACAGAGAGAGATCACAAGTAGGCAGATAGGGAGAGAGAGAGAGAGAGGGAGGAGGAAGCAGGCTCCCTGCCTAGCAGAGAGCCCGATGCGGGACTCGATCCCAGGACCCTGAGATCATGACCTGAGCTGAAGGCAGAGGCTTAACCCACTGAGCCACCCAGGCAGCCCCTAATCACCCCACTTTAACTGAAACAGCTGCCCTTGGATTCTGTCCCTCATAATCAAAAAGCCTTCACCAGAATGGAAGGCATTTCCAAGTATATAAAACAGATATTAATTCCACCTTACCCGGGTCCAGAAATGGATTTTATTTTAAAATCCTTCAACTCTGGATGCCTCTGCCCCTCATCTAAGTCCAACCTTTGTTCAGGCAGGTTCTTCTCTTTAGGGCACTTGAAAAAATTCTGTATCTTGCTCCTAATTTCACTTCTCTGTCACTGAATAATGCTAAGCAGATACGTTCTATTGGCCTCTGATCTTAGCTGGTTTTCCACTCCTACACTACCTGGACTATATTCCTGGCAAAGCTCCTTTGACTCTCAAGAAATATTTTCTTCCCCATTCACTGCTTTTCAATGCCTAACTACTATACTGCTTTGTACTTTTAACATGTTATGTTAAAGTACACAACACTACTTGTTTGTACCCATTATCAATCATCTCTAATGGCTTATTCTAATCCTTATTATATAAACAGTCACCTATTATATAACCAATGAGTAGACAAAACACAAACCAGAAAGAACAAGTCATCACATCTGTCAGGCAAAGCTGAAATTCACCTGACACATATAAATATTCCCACGATAAAAACAACAACAACAAAAAAACCAATTACAACTTAAAAGTCTTCCACAACATCCTAGGTACCGAAAAACTGTTCCAGGAAAAATGACACTCTAAATATTAAATATTAGTAATCTATAATCTACTTTGTCAACACTACACAGATAATTTCTAATAATGATATAATGAAAACAAGGCATGGGAAAACTTCAAAGTTCATCACTTCTTCCTTGAAAAATTACTAAATAGGGGCACCTGGATGGCTCAGTGGGTTAAAGCCTCCGCCTTCGGCTCAGGTCACGATCTCGGGGTCCTGGGATCGAGCCCCTTGTCAGGCTCTCTGCTCAGCAGGGAGCCTGCTTCCCATCCTCTCTCTCTCTGCCTGCCTCTCTGCCTACTTGTGATCTCTGTCTGTCAAATGATAAATAAAATCTTTGAAGAAAAAAAAAAAGGGAAAGAAAAACTACTACATACAGTCCAAATTTTCAATTGATAGCTACTAAATTCTTTCTTTTCTCTGAAATGATAATAAAAGAATTCCCATAAAAATTTAAAATTATAAACATGTATTCTCAAGCCAAAAAGTCATTAAGAAAGATATCTAAAACTGCTTACCGACTTAACATTTTTATATACAAGGAAAGGTTATTTTTCTTGTAAGGGTGCAAATGATTATAAGGCAATTAAAATCAAAAGCAAGTGTATCCTAAACCATTGACAAAACCTCTTTTTCTTTCAGTGTCAGCTTATTTCAGTGAAGAAACATGAGTCAATATAAAACTACTGTTTATAATCACTGACAATGAGAAATCACTACTCTGAGAGAGCCAGAAAAATCATGAAATGTATTAGCACTGAAAAGAGTCTTATAATTTACTGAGTCTAAACTATCATTTTACGGACTTCAGATCCCTTTTAATTCTGAAAAACAGATTTCAGATCAAATTCGTTCTAACACATAAATATGCATAAATAGCATCCATTAGGGGCGCCTGGATGGCTCAGTCAGTTAAGTGGCTGCCTTCTGCTCAGGTCATGATCCCAGGGTCCTGGGATGGAGCTGTGCATCAGGCTCCCTACTCAGCAGAGAGGCTTCTTCTCCCTCTCCCTCTGCCTGCCGCTCTGCCTACTTCTGCTCTCTATCTCCCTGTCAAATAAATAAATCTTACAAAAAAAAAATATATATATATAGCATCCACTACATTCCTGAAACAGAAACACACAGAGACATATAACCTTCAGACTTTAATTTTATTAATATCCCAGAGCAATATTCAGTTAAGATCCTAAAACTTCCATCACAGGGGTGCCTGGGTGGCTCATGGGTTAAGCCTCTGCCTTTGGCTCAGGTCATGGTCTCAGGGTCCCGGGATTGAGCCCTGCATCAGGCTCTCTGCTCGCCAGGGAGCCTGCTTCCCCCCCTCTCTCTGCCTGCCTCTCTGCCTACTTGCGATCTCTCTCTCTCTCTCTCTCTGTGTCAAATAAACAAATAAAATCTTTTTAAAAAAATAAAAAAATTAAACTTCCATCACAGATGACACTCCAGCACTAAACTGGATCAAATACAAAAATGAGAAAGGAGCTAGAAGCACAAAGCCCTAGCTACATAGTTTCTGAATAGAGTCCTCCCTACCTGACCATCATCTTCAAGTCTGTCCCCTCCTAAATAGGTAGAACAGATAGAAGAATAAGTAAGTTCAAGGCTCCCTCTACCCATTCACAAAGAATACCAGAAAAAGTTCCCCTGGAAGTCTTAACCCACAGGTAATAAGCAATCTGTTTCTTTTCACCTTCTGCTTTTTCTCCCCTTCCTTCCCATGACCATTCATCTTTGTTTTGCCCCACTTGAACATCTTTAACCTAGTTTTTTATTTCTCCTTTTTCACTTTTTCTTAGTGGAGCACCTATCTGGTAAGACAGGATGTAAGAGAGAAAAATGATTTAAAAGGAAGTAAAATGGAAGATGGGAGATGGAAAAGACAGATACACAGTGGGTTACATTTTTTTTAATTACCCCCATACCACATAGCCTGTTAATCCCTTTCCACAGAATACACAGTATCACAATATAAAGTTGAGAATATCTAGGAACATGATTAAGAACTTAAGAGATTTCTAGGACTAAAGAAAATACTACATTTAAGTAAAAACAACTTCCTACTCTACAGTATCTTATTTTAAAACAAAGTCTAAGTTTGCTCAAGTTCAAGAAAAAAAATTTAATTTCTTACATAAGTGCTGAAAGCTTCTGATGAGGCATTGGTAAAGCGAAGAGACTGGAAAAAAATTTTTCTCCTTGCTTGTTGTGACAAAGGAACCCTCCTTTCCCTGCCCCATTACAGCCTACACAAATTCCAGACATGTTAGAGGACACAAGGACACATTATGGGGACTGAAAGGCAGTACTTATCAGGACTCTAAACATTCATTTGCAAGCAGGAACAAAACAGAAATAAAAAATTGGACCAGTTCATTGTATTTGCCAACGTGTAGATAAAGCTCAACAGTAGCCTCCCATCACACTAAAAGTTGTATTAGACAAAACAATCATATAATGTAAGAGTATAAGGACAAGTACTTTTATAGTATGGAGGGAAGAATGATCCCTACCTCACATCATACACAAAAAATAGAAAAAAGATCAAAATATGAAAAGCCAAACTTTAAACAGTTTAGAAAAGAAGAATGAATAATAAATGAGGCAGAAGAAATGTGTCTTAAACAAGGCATAAAAAGTACAGTCCACAAAGAAAAGATTGACACATTTAACTACATTAAAATTTTAAATGTGTGTACAACAAATGACATTTTGAACAAAGTTCTTTAAAAATGAAGTCAAAATGCCTCCGGAGAGAGGAGCTGGATGAAAGAACAGGAGTGGGAGAAAAACTTTTCACTGTATGTTCTTTCGTATTTTCTGGATTTTTGATTCATGTGAACATAGTACTCATTCACAATAAATACATAAATAGATTTAAAACTTTAAACTAGAAAGCTATAAACTGGGGAAAAAACTTGTCATGCATATAAAAGGATAAGTATTCAGAATTTATCAGTCTAAAAATTTATATCTAAAATTCAGAAGAAAAACACACTCAAAGAAAATTAGACAAATGATCAAGTAATTCATAAAGGAGGAGCCCTACGCGACTAACAAACATGAAAATAATCTCAA